TGTGGGCATAACCAATGAAACACAAGACGTATAAGAGATACGAGGCCCCCATGCGGACCTCGGTGTGCACGTGCGCGTCACGAAGCTCCGACGCCGCCGCCTTATCTTTGCGGGGTGGGGCGGGGCATGTGCGTCCGAGAGGCTCGTGAGCTGCTGCAGGCTTCTCGATGTCGTCGGGGGCCTGCAGGCCTGCACGAGCACGAGGGGCCCCCTTGACACTCACCGCAGGCTTCCGCATGCTGGCGGGCGGGTGCAGGAGGACCTGCAGCAGCAGCGGTGAGGGTGGCGCGCGGCGCGCACCGGGGCCTATGTGTCGGGGCTTGGGAGGGGGGCCGCCCTGCTGCTGTAAACTTGTATTCCTGGGAACTGATCTCCTCTCCTCTCTCTTCTCCTCGCGCGCCCCGCCCCGCCTGGCTCATTGGAGACGTCTCGCCCGCCGCACAAGACTCCAGCCCGGGCCGGGACCGGTAGGGGGGGAGCAGCAGACTGCTGACCTTCTGAAGGGCGCTGTGCTCGGTCGCTCGGTGGGCCCGCCCCGCCCCGCCTGTAGGTGCCCCTGCCCCGCATGTGCGTGCAGACGCTACAATTATTGCAGCCTGGCCCGGGATGTAAACGCCGCCGTGTGGGCCCAGCAGGCAGAGGCCGGGTCGTCGGTCCTGCCGCCGAAAAGGTTGTCATTGCGTGCACGTTGTTGGCCGGCCCGGCCGCGTCCCCCCGAGTTTGCACACACATACACACACTCACACACTCTCCGGCCGGAGAGAGAGGCGCACCTGGTCTGGTTGTGGTGGCGAATCTGCTCTGCTGGCTGGCGAGGGCGACTGACTCCTTGCCTTGGCAACGTCCAGCCGGGTGGTGCTCGGACCGTCCTGAGAGCCTTTCTGCGCTCGCCGCCGCCGCCGCCAGGACCTCGGGGTGGGTGCCTGAAAACACACGTGAGTACTTAGGCCCGACCCCCCGCCCCGCCTCCTCACTCCGCCGCTGCTCTCCTGCTCAGTATGCCGCACTTCGCGCTCGCTCGTCGTGGCGCGGCGCGGCGTGGCGTGGTGTGGCGCGGCCGCGTCAGGGTCCCTGAATTAATAAAAGGTCCTTCCTGCGCCCCTGCACCGCATTCCCGCCCCGATGAGATCCGACAGCGACGCGGCGTGGCGGCGAGCGGCGCGGCCTGCTGTTATGACAAAGCGTCTCCTCGAGTTTGCAGCCAGACCAGACCAACAACACGCCCCGCCACGCCCCGCCCCTCTCCTCTGCCGTCTAAAAATTATCTCGGCGCGCGCGCGCGGGCTTTTTCGAACGGTTTGAAAAATGAAATTGACGCCCGCTCGCGTTACAGACTGCGCTCCTCGACGTGACGTGTGGCCGTGTTCTGGTGACACGCTCGCGGGCGGCGTCTGGGTAGCGTCGCGCGGCCGCGACGTGATGCGAGGGGGGCGTTCCTTTTGATAAGTGAAGTCACTTCGGCCCCGGCGGCGGCCGCGACCAGCCAGGCGTGTGCTCGTGTGATGGAGGTCTATTTTCAGTCTTTCCCTGAGCCCGCGGTCTCTGTAAAAACGCGTTAAAAACGCGGGCGGCCGCCCTCGGGGGCGCGTGGGGCCGCATTGCAGGCGGGGGCGTGGGCGAGGCGGCGATGTTGTCAGGATTCCAAGGCGGCGCGGCCCGCGGGGTCATTTTAGTGCCTCCCTCACCCCCTCGTTTTGCATTTTTTACCCCGCTGGTTCCGGATTATCGTAAATAAATGAGGACACGATAGAGGAGACATTTCCTCGCGGGCTGTAATAAAAACGTATAGGATCAGTCGAAGGGGAGGAGAAAAAGTTTAGTCGGTCTCTCCCGTCCGCGTGTTCCTCTCGGCGGCGGTCTTGGTGACGGCGGCCGCCATCGGCTCATGGATGGCATGGGGCCTCTTGCCTCTTTCTGGGGCGGGTGGGGTGAAGGGTATGGTCTCGCGAACTAACGTCTAGGAAGTTGCAGATTCGAAGCTCCAGACTTTTACTCGGCCAGCCATGTCGGAGTTATATCGCGTCCCCGCCATGCCCCGCCCCCGCCC